TAATGATCAACAAAGATCTCTTCTAAATCAAGTAAACTTGTACTGTATTTTTTCTGTTATTTTATTAAGAAAGTAGAATGCTCTGTGAATCATCAACTTAATCCATCAGTGATTACGGTCTTTGGCATCAGTCTCATCTTAAAAACAAGTGTAATTTGTATCATTACGGTTACGTGAAGACTTTCATAAAGAGAGTAAGGAATCAACAGTAATAATACATCCTTCAAAATAGTTGAATATATCCTATTTTTATCACCATAATACTAACAATTGTTCGACAAATACATTATAGGTTATAATTACTGAAAATATCGTATTCTCATCTGTAAATATCAGTTCGTGATTATTTTTTCACCATCATACAATAGCCTTATACATCTCATTTGTATCTATACATCAATATATATCACGAAAAAATAAACATGTTATGTAGATATTTCAACTTTATTTGCAATCTTTATTCCCCTTCACCATCAAACCCAAACAGGTTGCAAAACGGCCCCCTGTCCATCACACATCGCCCTCTGCGCACCGTAGCCTCAGTACCTTCGCCCCAACGAAATGGAGCTCCTAGTGCGGGAGGCCATAGCTTTGCGAAATGGCCTCCTCTGACCCGCGCCCTTCGGAGCCCTCGATGCCTGAGACGAGATCCGACCCCTTGAAGATCCCCTGGAAGACGAAGGAAGACCCCTTGACGCCAGACCCGGATGAAGCCCCGAGGTCGCCAGACTGGTTTCCGGATGTGGGTCCTTGGGAGCCAGTGACGGAGCCGAGAGATCCTGCAGGAAGTTCGGAGGAACCGAATTCAACGGAGCCTCCCTGAGTGCCAGAGTGAGTGCCAGAGGAGGATCCCAGAGAACCTGAGTGGAAGCCAGTTGAGGATCCCTGAGTGTCACTTGAGGATCCCTGAGCGCCAGACTGGAAGCCACTTGAGGATCCCTGAGAGCCAGACTGGAAGCCACTTGAGGATCCCTGAGAGCCAGACTGGAAGACAGCTGAGGATCCCTGAGAGCCAGACTGGAAGCCACTTGAGGATCCCTGAGAGCCAGACTGGAAGCCAGCTGAGGATCCCTGAGAGCCAGACTGGAAGACAGCTGAGGATCCCTGAGAGCCAGACTGGAAGCCACTTGAGGATCCCTGAGAGCCAGACTGGAAGCCAGCTGAGGATCCCTGAGAGCCAGACTGGAAGCCAGTTGAGGATCCCTGAGAGCCAGACTGGAAGCCACTTGAGGATCCCTGAGAGCCAGACTGGAAGCCACTTGAGGATCCCTGAGAGCCAGACTGGAAGCCAGCTGAGGATCCCTGAGAGCCAGACTGGAAGCCAGCTGAGGATCCCTGAGAGCCAGCAGACTGGAAGCCAGCTGAGGATCCCTGAGAGCCAGACTGGAAGCCAGCTGAGGATCCCTGAGAGCCAGACTGGAAGCCAGTTGAGGATCCCTGAGAGCCAGACTGGAAGCCAGCTGAGGATCCCTGAAAGCCAGATTGGAAGCCACTTGAGGATCCCTGAGAGCCAGACTGGAAGCCAGTTGAGGATCCCTGAGAGCCAGACTGGAAGCCAGCTGAGGATCCCTGAGAGCCAGACTGGAAGCCAGCTGAGGATCCCTGAGAGCCAGACTGGAAGCCACTTGAGGATCCCTGAGAGCCAGACTGGAAGCCAGCTGAGGATCCCTGAGAGCCAGACTGGAAGCCAGCTGAGGATCCCTGAGAGCCAGACTGGAAGCCAGCTGAGGATCCCTGAGAGCCAGACTGGAAGCCAGCTGAGGATCCCTGAGAGCCAGATTGGAAGCCACTTGAGGATCCCTGAGAGCCAGACTGGAAGCCACTTGAGGATCCCTGAGAGCCAGACTGGAAGCCACTTGAGGATCCCTGAGAGCCAGACTGGAAGCCAGCTGAGGATCCCTGAGAGCCAGATTGGAAGCCACTTGAGGATCCCTGAGAGCCAGACTGGAAGCCAGCTGAGGATCCCTGAGAGCCAGACTGGAAGCCACTTGAGGATCCCTGAGAGCCAGACTGGAAGCCAGTTGAGGATCCCTGAGAGCCAGACTGGAAGCCAGCTGAGGATCCCTGAGATCCAGACTGGAAGCCACTTGAGGATCCCTGAGAGCCAGACTGGAAGCCAGCTGAGGATCCCTGAGAGCCAGACTGGAAGCCAGCTGAGGATCCCTGAGAGCCAGACTGGAAGCCAGTTGAGGATCCCTGAGTGCTAGACTGGAAGCCACTTGAGGATCCCTGAGTGCCAGAGTGAATGCCACTTGAGGATGCGAGCGTCCCACCAGCAGAGCCAGCGGAGGCCCCAAGGGAGTCCCTGGAGGCAGAGCCGGCGCTGGAATCTCCGCCGCTTAGGGACCTGAAGTTGAAGGATCGTGTAGGTTAATTCACCTGTGTTTTCATTTCATCTTATTCGGTCAAGAAATATGTGAAAAGTGCCTGTGGTCGATCAGTGAGTGTGGGCGTGTATTTATGTGTACACAAGGACAATGTCAAAACAAAAACATACACG